TTTTTTTTTTTTTTTTAAGATTTATTTATGCATACAGAACTCAGGTTCAGGTCAGAGGTGCAGGGGCTGTGAGAGGATTCACCAGAGACAGACTGGGGAGCAGAACAGGCAGATCTACGAAGTACATTGCTGAGGGGAGCAGTGGGCAGGTCAGGAGAGGTCTGCCACGCCATGTGGTCACTCACCTCCAGGACAGGCGGGGATAGAACTCTTGCTGAAGTGGTTTTAGCTTCTTAGTGCTGTGCTTTAACCTGCTGCACCACTAGGGAGGGCCCATAGTGATAATTCTTAACAAATTCACTTATGGTGACAAAAATTTGAACAAGATAGGTATTGTTATGGATATTTGATTTAAACATTTAGTTGGATGGACTCTTGCATTAAAATTTCTTCTACACTAAAAATTAGGTGACACATTTCAAAACTGAGCAAACCCTGTACCAGAAATTCCATGGTCTAGAAATTTAAGGAGCATTATTGAATGTAGAAATAAATTAGTTCCAAAGATGTTCATTTAACAAAAGGTATAAAATAGGGGGAACCTAACAACCTGAGTGAATATATAATGAAATAATTTATGATTCATACATATGAATTTTATTTTGCCATTTGAAAGATGTTATGAAAGAATATTTGGAATGAAAAGTACCTTCACATTAAGTGAAGATATAAATGTAGTGATTTAATTTGCAATTTTTAAAGTTAGGGCCCTCCCTGGTGGCACAGTAGGTTATATTGCAGCACTATAAAGCTAACTGAGGCCACTTCAGCACAAGTTGGATCCAGAGCCAGAGAAGTAACGCAAATGGCACCCCCCGCCCCCGCTGCTGCTCCCTTTAGGAGTGTACTTCATCAATCTGCCTGTTCTGCTCCCCACTGTCTCTGGTGAATCCTCTCACCGCATCTGCATCTCTGGCCTGTATCCCAGTCCTGTACATATAAATAAATCTTTAAAAAATAATTTATTTAAAACTTATTTTTAAATGTAAAAATAGTACACTTAAATTTTAAGAAAACATATTTTTTAAAGATTTCTTTTTTATTTGTACATACAGAACTGGGGTACAGGCCCAGAGGCTCAGGGATTGCGAGAGGCTTCACCAGAGACAAGAGTGGGGAGCAGAACAGGCAGATAGAGGAAGTACACTGCTGAGGGGAGCAGCGGGTAGGTCAGGAGAGGTCTGCCACGCCATGTGGTCACCTCCAGGGCAGTTGGGAATCGAACTCATGGGTAAGTGGCTTTAGCTTCTCAGTGCAGCGCTTTAACCCGCTGTGCCACCAGGGAGTGCCAAGAAAACATATTTTAAAGACTAATATACTGGGCAGCCAAGTAGTGATTTTATCCACTGAGTAGTGTTTTTTTTTACTTTCTAATTTTTCTACAAGGAACATAGTTATAATAATTCAATTAACAGAGTGACTTAAAATATGTTCACAAATGCTTTGATAATTCCTTCAAAAGGTGGAACTTTAATTCCTCTCCCTTGAGTGTGGTCTGGATTTAGTGACTCATTTTGAATGGCTACAAAAAAGCAAACTGACTGTGTGTAGCTTCATTATAAACCATAAAAGTTTGGTCCTTGCTCACTCAAATAACTTGCTTTGGGGAAAACCAGTCTTCACATCTGTGGACACTCAGTCAGCCTAGTGGAGAGTCAGTCTCATGTGGCAAGGAATCGAGGCCTCTGCCAGCAGTCACATGAGTGGCCTATCTTGGGAGCAGCTTTTTCATGACTGTGATCCCAGCCACCAACTGTTTGACTAGAATCTCAGTCGCTGAGTTCAAACCACCCAGTTAAGCTACTCCCAAATTCTTGACCCAGGGGTAATATATATTTGTTGTTTTAAACTATTAGCTTTTGAAGTAACTTATTATACAGAAGAGGTAGCTAACACATATAATTTCTCCAGTGACCATATTTAAATATTAAAAATTGTAGTATCTAAAAATGAGCAAAATCTAGTTAGAATACCTTAGAGTATTAAACATGGCATGTCTACTGGTATAATAGACATGGAATAATATAACAGGAATAGTGTAGGAATGAAGCTGTTTCGGGCTATTACGATCCTTAAACTCAAAGGGCAGGTTTTTCTTTGGCTAAGTAGGACAAACTCATGAACACAGTCAGTGCCTTACACACCAGACAAAATGAATTTTTTTAACTTCATCTAAAAGTACAAAATAACAACAGATGATTAAGTGGTGTGTTTATATGAAGTTCTACAGGACTTCAAAGGAGTGGACATTTAGTATGGATGAAGGCTTTAGGAAGAAAGTAGCATTTTAATATGTATAGATGTAAGTAGTTTTAGAAAGATTTAAAATTATAAAGGAGAAAGAGCATGATAGCACAAATTCAAATGAAGCAGCAGAGTTGAACATGGTGCCTTTAGACAATAAAAGACCTGTCTTAAAAGCCAAATTGTATATTTGTGAAATTGTGGGTCAAAATTTAAGAAAATCTGATAGTTTCCAGCTCAAAAAAGGGAATCTAGGTTTTTTATTCTACAGTATTAGAAGAGTCATATAGGGTTTTTATCATTGCAGTGTTTTCTGAAAGATTAATCTGGACACAGCAGAGTAAAATATATAGTAAGGAAAAAAATCCTGAAGGTGAAAAGGGTAGAAATGGTAACCCTGTTACTAATTATAGTATTTGAGAGCCTACTATATACCAGGCATTAAGCTTTACATGCATTACTTCCTTTACACCTTACGAGGACTCTTAAAGAGGTTGTTTCATCCACACTTTATAGGTAAGAAAGTAGATGCTTAAGACTTAAAGCACTTGCCATATTTAGTACAGGTTTTGGACCCTAAAGCCAGGGTCCCACGGTATTACATTGCTCGGATGTTGGAGACATTTTAAAATAATGTAGTGAAAGTATCGTAAGACTTAATGCCTAGCAAGCAAGGAGAGGAGGGATTGTTCTGTACATTTTAAAACAGCTACCATTTATTGAGTGCCTATTGTGTACCAGGCCACTGACTGTGTCCAACGTTTTATAAATTTTATCTATAATCACACTTTGGCAAGGTGTAGTCTACTATTATTTATATTTTATAAATGAAAAAAAATCTGAAGCTTGGTGGAAGCTGAGTGTTACCACTCAGAAGTTTGCTAAATGCCAGCAATACACCAAATCCTAGGCATGATTAAAAGTTTTCAGGTTGCTCCTTGCAGTATACTACTCCTCTCTCCAAGCCAAGCATTCACCACCACCTGTGGGTGCAGGTACCTAAGTGAATGCAGACTGAAGAGAAAGGAAGGCTACCCTGATGTAGTCTGCATAATTTTTAAACTGTAACGTAACTCTTGTCCTTGAGATTATGGGTGATTCTGAACGACAGCACTTGTCTAGAGTTGAGGAAAACTGATGCTGGAAAGAGTGTGGATGCTTTGAGAATGATATTCCTGGTCTTCTAACTAACCTCTAGAAAGTTACTTGTTCTCCTTGTGCCTCAGAATCCTCTCTTTAAAATGGAGACAGCAACATTTTCCTGGAAGGACTGTAGTGGGACCAGTAGTGCAGAGAACCTATATGCATTGCTATCATTTAACATGTTCTTATTCAGGAAAACAATACTACAACCTGCAATCACAGAGGTTACAACTTTGGTTGAAATCTCATACAAATCCTTTTCTCCCACATGATCATCTTTGCACGTTAAGAACCAGATTTTTGTATACCTGAAACGAGTTGCCAAAGTAACTGAAAAAATCAAACCCAGCAGTTAAAATGCCATTCTTGCTGCTATCTTTTAATTGAAAACCCTAAAAGGGCATACCCCCTTGGACGTTACTTAATTAGCAGTAAGTAAGGAGAAGATACTGAAGCAGTAAACTTAAGTGCTGTTGGAAAGTTCTGTTGACCAGCATGGATTCTCTCCCCCTTGGGACCAGTTACAGCTGGCGTCAGAGAAAATACTTTTATCAGGTCCTTCGGGTGTCCTGTAGAAAACCGGACAAAAACAGAAGCCAGTTATCCCTCCTAATCCGAGCATAAGCACTGGAAGTAAATCTCCTGTATTTAAAAAAGTTGTCTGCACTTCTAGACGCTTCTACCCAACTATGAAATTCCAAAAGGTAGTTTTACACTATTCCAACTGCAGTCAGGAGCCTCGTTGGGGGGTCTAGGGGCTCGAGCAACTAGCTAGAGCCCGGCAGCCTCAAAAAGGGGCCAACTCTACCCGGTCGCGTCTCAGGCGTCCCCGGAGCAGCAGCGCCCGGCGCGCGCGGGGTTTCCCTGGCCAAGGCCGGCGGCGGTCCGCACGCACCGGCGCTCAGGCGAGGCGAGTGCGCGGCCGGGGCTGCAGCTGGCGCTGGCGGCGCTTGCGTTGGCTATTGAGGAGGGTCTGTGCGATCTTGCGCTCGTGGCCGCCAGCTACCGGCCAGTTGGTGCGCAGTTCCCGCTCGCGGCGCGTCCGCCCCTTGCTGCGCCCAGCCCCGCAGGCTGGAAAGTCCCTCAGGTAGTAGTAATCCAGGCAGTCGTAGAGCTCCTCCTCGGAGCTCGTCGCCGGCCACGTCTCCGGTGGCGGGGGCTGGGCCAGTGCCTGGGCGCTGGGGAGAGCGGGGTCCATAGCGCCAGGCCGCATGGCCGTCGGCCGGCGAGCGCGCGCCCTGCGGTAGGCCCCGCCCGTCGCTTCGATTGGCTCCACCCATAGGCGGGGCTGAGTGTGACGCCACAGCCTCCGCTCCAGAGGCGGCAATCTTCGGCTGTGCGTTCCTGCAGCTAACTGGTAAAATCTGACCCAGCAATTTTTTTTTTAATAA